GCTTCGGGGTGAAAAGGGGCCCCCCTGCAAAATGACAGCGGGCGTAAACCATTCAACCCTCTTCCATCCTTCTCCTCTTCCTCCTCCTCTTCCTCCTCCTCCTCCCTCCTCCTCCTCCTCCTCTTCGCATTCCTCCTCCTCATCCAGGCTGGTAACCTCAGCAGCGTCGGATCTCGTGCGCCAGGAAGGCTCGATCGGTTCCGCGCACCGCCTGGCTGCCTGCTAGCGGATCGCGTCAGGCGGGCGGGACCTGCAAAACAGGGGCGCCCTCGAGGGCGCGAAGTTAATTTGCGCTTCGCGCTTCGCGGTTGGGCTCCGATTCCTCATCCTCCTCTTCTCCCCTGGGAGGCAGCGCGAGAGCGCGAAGTTGTTCGCACTTCGCGCTTCGCTCAGCGCGAGAGCGCGAAGTTGGGAGCCCTTGCAAGAAGGCATCCATGGAGGGAAAACCATAGCAAATCAGAAGCTTTGCCTCGTGTCTTTGCTCGCGGCAAATCGTCATGGCGCGCCATGCTGGGCCCCATCCAGAGGGGACACGGGCTACGTCGCCAACAAGTCGGCCACTATTACGCAATGGCGTGTACATATACATGCATATGCCTGGCATCGCTCAGACGTGTGCAGTTTTCTTTTGGCGAGGACCATCGAGGACCATCCTCGATCATTTGGCACAACAAACACCGCGCACGGAACCGAAACAAAACACAGGGAGTGGACGTCCGAGCGATGCCCAGAAAAAGGGTCTACGTGTACACCCCGTGCCGTTCGCCCTGCTCTTCGCTCTCCGACCAGAGGCTGCCCCGTGAGGAGCCGGTGGAGTTCGGGCTTGCACATGCCAGTCGTGCGTATCCTTTGGGATGCCCTCCTGCGCCGTTCCAACAGTTGGTGGATCTTGTCGGCTACAGGAGGCATCGGGGGGGGACAACAAAACCCCCAACAGTGACACGTCGATGAGTGAATTGTCCGTTTGCGGTTCTCGAGGGGGCGCCGTGGCTGTCATTTTCTAGGCCTGCGCCCGCCAGGTTTGGGCCTGCGCCCGCCCGTCAGGTCGTTTTCACTGAACCACGTTTTACTAAAGGGGGGTCTGTCCATCCCCGAAAGCAGGAGCCACCGTCTTACATGAACTGGTCCGTGCATCATTTGTACGTCGTCGCTGTCCTCGAATGGCAGCCGCACGTCGTGTTCACACTTGGCACGGGCGTCCCGAGCAGGCTACTGCTGTAAAGCTCGTGCTCGGATGCATATTCGCGACTGTTGGCGAGTGCCGATATAGGTGAAGAAACAGCCCATCTGTTGGACTATACTGTTGTAAAGCTCGTGCTCGTAGGAATATTCGCGACTGTCGGCGAGTGCCGATGTAGGTGAAGAAGCAGCCCATCTGTTGGACTATATGTATATATATATATATATAAAGAGCGTGTTCTTCCGCTGCTGGCGGAAAACCGGGGGGGATCACTACCGGTTCGAACCCCTCCCCCCCCCCCCCTCCACCAGCCCCCCCCCCCCCCCCACCCCCCCTCCAAAAACCGGGGGGTCAACTATCCCTACCGGTTTGCGAACCTCCCCCCTCCCCCCCCCCCCGCTCATCATGAACAGGGGGGGGGGGTCACTACCGGTTCGAACCCCTCCCCCCCCCCCCTCGAAAACCGAGTGGGGGTGCGGACAGAGGTGGGGACGGTGTTGGTGGGACAGTGGCGAGGGGACAGCGGGACAGTGGTGGGGACAGTGGGACTGTGGGACAGTAGAGGGCCGGTAGTGGTGGGGACAGTGGTGGGGACAATGGTGGGAACAGGGGGGACAGTGGACAGTGGTGGGGACGGTGGTGGTGGGGACAGTGGTGTGGGCATAGTGGGAATGAGGTGGAAACAGTGGGACAGTGGAGGGTACAATGGTGGTGGGGACAGTGGTGAAGGCGGTGGCGAGGACGGCGGTGGGACAAAGGGACAGAGGTACAGTGGGGACAGTGGTGGGGACAGTGGGGACAGTGGTGGGAACAGTGGGACAACTCAGTGGGACAGCGGCGGAGTCAGTGGGACAGTGGGGACAGTGGGGATAGTCGGGCAGTGGTTGGGGCCGTGGAGACAGTGGGGAGAGCGGAACCGTGGTGGGAACAGTGGTGGGGACAGTGGTGACAGTGCAACAGTGGTGGGGGCACTGGTGGGGACACAGTGGGGACAGTGACAGTGGTGGTGAGGACAGTGGTGCTGGGAACAACGTGGAGGATGTGATGCGGACGGTGGTAGGGACCGGGAGTCGTTTGCTGGCGGTGAGTGGGGGGGTGGGGAGGGGTTCGAACGCGTAGTGACCCCCCCCTGGTTTTCCGGATCCGGAGGGGGGGGGGAGGGGTTCGAACCGGTAGTGACCCCCCCCGGTTTTCGAGGAGGAGGGGGGATGGGGGGGAGGGGTTAGGGCGGGGGGGGGGGTTGCCGGGGGACGGGGGGGGGTCCAGCAGGGGGGAGATTTTCGGAAGGGGGGGGGGCGACCCCCGGGCTCCGGAGGAAAAGGTTGGCAATTTTCCACAGTAAAGCGTCGGTGGATCACGCTCTCTCCTTTTTATTATATATATATTAGTGTTATCATTATTAATATTTATTATTATTATTATCATCATCATTATTATTATTATCATTATTATTATTATTATCATTATTATTATTATAATTATTATTATTATCGTTATTATTATTTTTTATTATTATTAATATTATTATTATTACTATTATTATTATATTATTATATTATTATTATTATTTTTTATTACTATTATATATATAGGTATTGGGATTGGTCTGGCACTTTCTCGCCCGCTTGCCGTGGTGCTCGCTCCTGATGGGCATGGATTGTTTACATATTGCTCTTAGTGTTAAGTCGGACATGTCTCTCTACAGGGGGGATATCCAAAACTAGTCAAAGCATATTCTGTGGACTAATGTTTGATAATGTCGAGCATTTCGGGGGTATTTTCTGGGGAATTTTTAATTATGTCGTCCAAGATCCCCCTGTTTGGGGACAGGCCCGACTTAATCTTAGTGTGTGTGTGCTTTGACAAATCTAGAGACGATGGCGACGTCGAAACCGACGATGACGACAACGGAAGCGACGACGAACACCGACAGCGACGGCGGGGACGGAACCGGGCATGACGACGGAAGCGATGAGGTTTCCACGACGACCTCGACGGCAAGCACGGAACCGACGACGACGACGACGACGACGACGACAGCGGAAACGATGAGGAAAAGCGATGACGGCAACGACGGAGGCGGCATGAGGCGAGAGCAGGGACGACGTGGGTGCCGACGGGGGCGTCGAACCGCCCGTCACCCCGAGGTGCACCGGGCGCCCGCGGCAAGATGACGGGGCGCCTTGGGGGGCGGCCGTCGTCGTCAGGGTCGTCGCCGCCCTCGAGGGCGAGCGTCGAGGACGGATCCGTCGATGGAGGCTCCAGGCTTCTTGGCGCCTTCCGCTCCCTCCTGGGGCTCCGGGGGGGCGCCGGGCGACTGCGGCAGGGGGGCGGGGGCGCCCCAAGGCTGCCGCCGCCGCCTCCAGAGCCGCCGCCGCCTCAGCGATGCGCAGGGGGCGCCCTCTCGCGGGGGTGGCCGGCGCGGGGGCGCCGCCGCGGCGCCCTCCCTCGGCAGCGGGACGGATCGGCCACGCGCAGAGGGGGGCAGGGGGAGGGGGGAGGGGGTCTTGGGAGCACCCGGGTCTCTCAGGAGGCGCGGGCCTGGTCTGCAGATGCAGGGCGGGGGCCTTCCAGGAATTCAGCTCCCCTCTGCGACGCCTTCCCCCCGTCCCCTTAGTCACCCCCCTCCTAAAACAAGGCTAGGATCGGGATAAATCGCTCCAGAGCGTCCCGGAGCGTTCTCAGAGCGTTCCGGAACGCTCTGGAGCGCCCGCGGCGCCCAATACATCCTCCAAACCTGCCGATTATCAGAGATTTCGAGTTATCCCGATCCGACTTTGTCCCGATCTTCCCGTCGTCTTACCTCTGCGCGCCGCCGCGGCGCCCTCCCTGGGGAGCGGGGCGAAGGCGCGCGCGCGGGGGCGCTCACGTGGCGCACGCGCGCGGGAGCTCGCGCGGCGTGGGTGCGGCCCCGCGGCGTGGGGGGCGGCGCGTCTGCGTGCGCGGCCCCGCCTGCGCCCCCGGATGCCCTCGGTCTGCCACGGGATGCGCCCCGCCCCCGTGCCGCGGGTGCGCCCCGCCCGTGAGCACAAAAACTTCTGGCGCTCCGCGCGGGCTTCTCGGATCCGCGCTGGCCCCCCCCCCTGGCGGCGCCTTCGGCGGCGCCCCTTCGGCGCGCTCCGCGCGCCTTCGCGAGGGGGGCTGTCGCGCGGGCCGCTCCGCGCGGAGCGCCGCTGCTTCTGCCTGTGGGCGCTCTTTCGTCCGCTGTCTGACCGATTGCTGGACGCGTGCGCGGCTGGGCGCGCACGCCTGGGAGCCCCTGGCCTCCCAGGCGCCCAGGGGAGGAGGAGGAGGAGGACGAGGAGGAGGAGGAGGAGGAGGAGGAGGAGGAGACGACGAGGAGGAGGAGGAGGATGAGGAGAAGGAAGACGAGGAGGAGGAGGAGCACGAGGACGAGGAGGGGAAGATAAGGAGAAGGAAGAATGATGATGATGATGATGATGATGATGATGATGATGATGATGATGATGATGATGGAATGATGATGATGATGATGATGATGATGATGATGCTGCTGATGATTGATGATGATGATGCTGATGCTGATGCTGATGCTGATGGCTGAATGAATGATGATGAATAGATGATGATGATGATGATGATGATATGATGATGATGATGAATATAGATGATGATGATGATGATGATGTGATGATGATGATGATGATGATTATGATGATGAGGAGGAGGAGGAGGAGGAGGAGGAGGAGGTGGAGGATGCGGAGCGGAGAGGAGAGGAGGAGCAGAGGAGAGGAGAGTGAGGAGGAGGAAGGAGGTAGGTAGGAGGAGAGGAGCAGGACAAAAAACAAAAAACGACAAAAAAAAAAAACCCGGAGAGGACGAGGACGAGGACGAAGGACGAAGGAGAGAGGAGGAGGAGGAGAGGAGGTAAGGAGGTAGGAGGAGTACGAGGAGGGCGGAGGAGGAAGGGAGAGGAGGAGAGGATGAGGAGGAGGAGGAGGAGGAGGACCCCCGCCCCGACGGCGCTCCGCAGCGGGCCGCCCGCCGAGGGTGCGGCTCCCTCGCGAGCCGCCGCGGGCGCGGGCGCGCGGGCGCGCGCCCCGTGCGGCGTGCGCGGGGGGCGCTGCCCGAGCTGTGCTCGACCCCCGCCTCCTCCTCCTCTCCGCCTCCTCCTCCCTCCTCCCCCATCCTCCTCCATCCTCCTCCACCTCCTCCTCCTCCTCCTCCTCTTCCTCCTCGGCCCCCGCGGCTCAGCTGGGGGTCGCCTCCTCGGGGCCAGCAAGGGCGCCCTCTGGGGCGCGTTCTGGCAGCTGCGCCTCGCCGGGGGCGTTCCGAGGGTGCCCGGATCATCCCGAACGGCCGCCAGGAGGCCGAGCGGTGACCCAGAACGGCCGCCCAGATGGGGGGGGGGTCATGGCAGTTTTCCAGCCTCGGGGCGCAATAGGGGCCAGCGAAGGCGTCCTCGAGGGCGCGAAGTTCCTCGCGCACCGCGCTTGCCGCGGCTCGGCTCGCCTCTTCTCAGCCTCCTCCTTCTCCTCTTCGGCTCAGCCGTAGCCATATTGGCTCAAGATGCTTTGTTCCACAGGGGAACGCGTGGATACCGTTAGTCCGCGGCCAGTGTGCAGTCCTTCCCCTGGTCAGCCCCATGGCGAGCGCCGAGGTGGTCCGCCCCACCTCGGCTTCGAGGCCCGCGCAAGCCCCACTGGTGCTGCGGGCAATGCGGGCGCGCGGAGAACTGGGCGTGCCGCATCCAGTGCCTCTGCGGCCGCGACGCGCCTGCTGCCATCCTCTCGCGTGCTCGCCAGAAGCACAAGGACGCCGATGCTGGCGGAGGCGGCGGCAAGAAGGCGGGCTTCAAGCAAGGAGGCCCGGCGACGCAGGGCATCCCCAAGCAGCTTGCGGAGTGGATGCAGGCCATCGAGAAGCGTTTGGCGCCGCCCGACAAGGAGTGGCCCAAGCCTGGCGGCACAGCGCCGTGGCGCGAGGCCGCAGACGGCGCTGACCCTGATAAGAAGTCGCAGAGTGCCAAGCTCGGCGAGCGGATCACGGAGCTCGAGGGGTGCCTTCCGAAGCTTCCACCCGCCGACGAGCGCAACAAGGATCTTCGGGGTCCGATCGAGAAGCAGTTGGAGACGCTGCGTACGGAGAAGCGTGCGCTACTGTCTCCCCAGGCCCTCCATCGGCGCACGCAGCAGGATTTGCAGCGGGCGCGGAACGGCCTGGAGAAGTTGGAGAAGGAGTCGGGTGAGCAGGAGCGCCAGCTTGAGGAGTTGGCCAAGGGCATCGCGACGCGCAAGGAGACCATCGCAGCGAAGAAGTTGGAGGTGGCGGCGCTGGGTGCGGCGTTCAGCGAGTCGGCCAAGAACGTCACCACCGTTGCGGCCGACATCGACCTGGTTGAGGACGACGTGGCCGACCAGCCCGACCTCGTCGCGCTCCTCAAGCCTGAGGCATGGGTCAAGCTCAAGTCGGCGGTCGCCAGCAAGGCTGCTGCCCGTGCCGCCAGCGCTGGGACTGTTCCTCCTGCTGCTGATGCTGCTGATGAGGCTATGCCTGCCCCCGCGGAGGTGCAGAAGCGGGCCCTCTATCATGCTCGGAGCGAAGGCAGCATCGATGACTTCATGTCCGCCTTCGACACTATGTGGTCCGAGCTGGCGGCCAAGCGAGCGCGGCATGGGTGGTCCTTCGACTGCTTGGCCTGACGTTTGTGGGCTGCCTGGGCGCGTGCGGGCGCCGCCGAGCGGGGCCAGGCCGACGGTCGGTGCTGAGTTCAGCATCGAGACCTACAACGCCAGCGGCGGCAAGGCGTCCGTCAAGAAGCGCCTCGCCAACACGATGGCGAGCGTGGTGCTGCTGCAGGAGTTCGTGCACATCAGCGAGCACGTCGAGGCTGTGGCTTCATGGTGCGGTGTGCGGGGTTGGAGGCTTATGGCGTTGCCGAGCCTGCCGGCTTCTGGTTCTGTGCCGTCGGCAGGTGTTGCTGGTGCCGTGCGCGATCGTCTCGGACTTCGTCCTCCTGCCATCGGTGTGCATGAGGTCGTCCCGAACCGAGTTCAGAATGTTCTCATAGATACACCCGAGCTGCCTGTCGGCCTGCATGCTTTCAACGTGTACCTGCACACTGGTGAGGGCGCCGCTGGCCGCAACGGCAGGCTTTTGCAAGAGTTGGGCCTCGCTGCTGAGGCACTGGGCGGCCCAGTCGTCATTGGCGGTGATTGGAACATGTGCCCGGGCGAGTTGGAGGCGAGCCAGTTCCCCGCTCACGTTGGTTGTTCGATTGTGAGCTCGTCTTCTGTCACGTTTCGAGGAGGCGCAGGTCAGTCTGTCATCGATTTTTCCTCCTCAACTCAGCGGCCATGAGGATGCGTGCCAGTGTCGGCATTGCTGTCAAGTGGGCTAAGCGAGGCCATCGGCCTGTTCATATTCTCCTCAAAGGTGATGCTGAGCACGTCAAGCGGCTGGTCTACACGGTGGCGCCAAAGATGGGCACCCAGATCATCATCGGGCCGCAAGTGCAGCCGCCCACCTACGCCAGCGCTCGGTGCGTTGCCGAAGCTGCTGTCCAGTCGCGTGGCGATCCTGAGTCTCCCCCTGGAGTTGGATGGGGCCTTTTCTCGGCGGCGCGGGGCCACTTCGCTGTCGCAGCCGCAGGGGCTATCGCGAACGCTGTGGGTCATCCGGATCGCAGAGTTCTTTTTGGTTTCGCTCGGTACTTGCAACCTCGGTGGGCCGACGTCACCAATGCGGCCAAAGACGCGTCCGACCTGCAGGCTGAGGCCGAGGGTTGGCAATGGTTGAAGTCTTCCCTCCTCAGCATCATGCAGTGCAAGACGGTGGCCAACCCGGCCGTGCCGGACCTGTCGTTGGCTGCTGAGGAGATCTTCAACTTCGCGACGGCCAACTACCATGGGCAGGGCCTTGCCGCGCGCCTCGATCGATCTGTTCAGCAGGCGCGCGGCGTGGTGCAGGCTGGCTTTGAGGAGGAGGCATGCCGCGAGCTCCTAGGAGACATTGAGCCCGACGTCAAGCTCGCGGTCAACGGAGCTACCCAGGAGGACCGCCAGAAGTGGAAGGAGTGGTGTGCCATGGCCGTTTCCAATGGCTCACGCCTCCTCCACCGCACTACGAAGTACCGTGACGTTGCTCAGCCCACGGTTGTCCCAACGGCCCATGGTGCGTCGGCTCATGTGCACGATGTTGTTCGGCACGAAGTGGAG